TATATAAATATGACAATAAATAAAGCTCTAATAAATATATAAGAATAAAAATAATATAGTTATAAATAGTAATATTAAATTAAAGAAAATTTTTTCAAGCAAAAAAAAAACTCTCACCTATTCACCACTGATTTCTTGAAAATTTTCTTTTATGGTAATTTTCTTGAAAGAAACTCTTTCCTCTCTTTCTTCAATATGCCAAGTATACTATAAGCTCAAGGACTTTAAGAACTACTGTTGCATTGGAATGAAACCTTTGATCAAAGGCCAAACAAGTTTGGAAGTTTTGCTTGTTTTTTGGTTGCATAAGGAAAAACCTGTAGCAGTCCTCCTTCTTAACTTTGGCTTTATGTATCTCCTTCTTTATTATTCTCATAATAACCATTCTTCTCACTATCCTCAACATCACCAATTTATTCCTAAAAGTATATTCAAGTAAAGTTTTAGGTTCTCCTACTTGTTTTAACAAACCCTTTCAAATAACAACATAGTATATTTTATTGCGCCATCTCAACAACATCAAAAATTTTCTTAAAATCAAAAAACAAAACCAGCCCAACCCCTCCAAACAATTTACACAATCCTAACAGCTAATACAATTCTGACATCTCAATCCAATAAGAACCAAACTGGTATTAATCTGTTAAGAATAACAATAACAACATCATCATATAAAGACTTAACAAAAACTTATCAAATCAAGATTAAATTTCTGAAAATCTTCTATATTACTAAAAAAAATATTTCCATCAGCCTTAACTTAACTGTTTATGAATAGGCATTAGCTATTTATGGACCATCAATAGTTTGTTATCACCTACTTGGTGTTCTCACAAATTAGAGGTTTTTTTATGCAATAAGCTAGAATTAACTCCCCCCAAATAAGGTGGTATAGGATTCTTAATGTAATGATAATAAACTTATGTTTAATAAATGTCTCACATTTAATGTTTGTTTGCAGCAAAAAAAAAAAAAAAAAAAAATTATATATTTTTTGAAATTAAATTAAAAATCTTTTTTATATAATTTTTTCATGATATAATCTTTTAATTTTATAATTATTAAAAAGTCAAGTTTTATTTTACATATTTAATCTTTTTTGAATATAAATTTAACCATTTAGATGTAACATGTATTAAAGGTTAATCAATTAATTATAAAAATAACAAATTTTTATAAGCATTTTTACTGTACTATAGATCTATAGGTCTATTGGTTTCAAATTTTATTGCTTTTTGATTAACAAATCTATATATAAAATAATTTTGATGATTTTTTATTATTGATTTTTTATAATAAAAATTTAATAATAGATTAATAGCAATAAGGGTTAAAAACTATTTCAAGAAAACTTATTTCTTATATTTCAAATACAAGTATATAAATATAAAATTTTATTTCATTTTATTATTTTAGTTATTGAAATACAATAATATATACGTATATATAATATTTAGAAAACCAGTTTTTTGTCCCATATTGTATATAATTCTATTAATAATTAATTTAATAAACCATTCTTGCAGTAAAATGATACGTGTCATGGCATCTTTAAGAAAACTCGTTCGATCTCACCCTTCTTTTCACTTTTCACTCTTTCCTCGGTTCCTATCAAATGCACCATCTTCAAAAACTCCTAAAATATTTTTAGAAGGGTCATTTGTTGATTTAAGACAGGAAGGTGGCTATTATTTGGATAAGACTCACTTCATCCCTGAAATAGAGGATCTCAAAACTTGTGCGATACTTTCTCTTCGTCCTCATCATTTCGGAAAAACACTATTCCTCTCTACTTTGTCCTCTTATTATGATATAAAAACAGAGAACGATTCGAACAACTTTTCGGAAATTTATACATTGGAAAAAACCCTACAAAATTGGCATCCTCATTCCTCGTTCTGATACTCAATTTTGCTGGACTTCGCACTAATGATACGTATGACATCTTCAAAGAGGACTTTCACACAACTTTGAATGTGAATATATCATGCTTTATGAAGAAATATCGACAAGAGTTGGGATGCCATTTTCAAGTCATTGACAAAAATACAGACGCTTTGGGAAATTTCTATAGTTTACTAAGTGCTGTAAAATTGAGTGGTCACAAGGTACTTTCTTGCTCAGTTATCAACTCTATCAAATAAAGAAAGTACAAAACTAATATTCTTTCGCGCCTTTAGCTTTATGTTTGCATTGATGAATACGATGCTGGTATGTACGAGGCCCTTAAAATCAAAACCATCTTACAACCTCTTATCACTCATCATAAAAAGGAAAGTGCATCATTTCAGAGTAAAATAGAAAAAATTGAGAGTTTGTTTTTCCAATTTTACTGTCGTTTAAAGTTTGCTTGTGATAATGGTATAGCCTGTGTTTTCCAAACTGGTGTGACTCCTGTCAATATGGATGGAATTATTTCGGGTTTTAATATTTCGATAGATCTAACGTTAGATGAAGATTTTTGGGACTTGTATGGGTTCAAGAAGTCGGAGATTGAATTTCTCTTAGACAATTTTCTTGTTTTTCCATCAGATGTTAAGAGGGGAATAATAGAATGGTTAAAGGAGGAAAATGACGGGTATTTCTTTAACCCTGATCAAACTGAGGGTATTTTTAATCCAGCTCGTGTCTTATACTGTATTGAGAACTTGATGAGAAAAAAAAAGAAACTTATAGATGATGATTATCAAGATGCTTCAACTAACATCAAAAAACTTCTTAAATTTCCCCCTGAGCTGCAATCATTACCCTCTCAAACAGCTTTGGACTTGATTGTTAACAATCCCCTTGGAAAATCCATTCTTACTGAAGCACTCAATCGAAGCCCTCTCGAATCTAGAAATGGCATAGAACAACGACTTCGACTCACCAAGATTCGTGAGCTAACAACTGATAGTACCTCGTTGTTGTCCTTCATGTTCTATACTGGAGCCATCACATATAAACCAAACCCATCATCCACATCATTACAGCATAGTTTTCGAATCCCGAATCGTGTTGCTGAAAGAGAATTTATCACAGAGACACTTAATATTTATGACTGGAAGAAAGAGGATTTAATTCCTGTACGGAAATTTTTGCAGATTTTGGAGGCAGAGCATAACATTGAACCTCTTTGTCGATTTATAGAGAGAACTTTACTTAAGCCATTGAAGGATAACAGTGTTAAACATTCAAACGAAGAGGTATTGAAACAAGTCTTTATGGATACTTTAATTCTCGCTTTTCATGCAGACACTGAACCAGAATTTCAGGTGCATTCAACGAGCTCTAATTTCAGTGGAAAAGCAATTGATTTGGTAAGAACAGGTATCGGAAAAAGGATAGCGATCGAATTTGATGATATTAAGATAGAAAACGTTAAATTGGACAAAGCTCGAGATAATTGGCAGGAAGCAACTGAAGTTTCACGATCGTTATTGGAAAAATCGGAGGAGGAAGTTTTGAAACTAAAAATTAATGATCCTTTCCAGAAAAATCAAAAGACAGTTGAGGAGGCTTTGGAATGGAAGATCAAAACGAAAAGCAGAGAATACCTCGAGCCATTACAAAATCGACAAGATGCAGATTTGAAATGCATGTTTGTTATTTTGAGAGTTGGTTTGCACCGCCTAATTAGCAGGAAAGTTTATGATGTTAATGAATAACGTGTAGAGTTTAAAACAGGATTGCATTACTGTAAATAAGGTTTCGCCCATCCTCATCTGGGCTTTTGAATTAGCCGTTCTTTTTTCGTGATTTTTAATAAAACAATAAAGACTATTTTAATCATGAGTGTGAATATAATAATTCAAAAATTAACGATTGCTTATACTTCTTGTGTAGCTAAAAAAATAATGTTTTCCTAATCTTGTATTATGCACAAAGAATATGATGTAGTTTTCGCGACAGTTTCACAAAGTGATTTATACATGTATAATAAAACACCGTTACATGAATAAAATGATAACATATCTAAAACAATTATTATCTAGTCGCTATATACGAGGGAGTGTTGATGTAAATTTATTTCCTAAAGTTAAGCCAATAATAGCACGATTACGACTCATCGCGGTTCGGGATTTTTATAGTGTAACAGGGAGAAATGGGACGCGACGTTAATCACATGACCGATCGACGTGACAATGGTAAGTCGGCTGTAATAATTAGGTAATAACGAGTGACGAGAGAAATTATGTAAGATAGCCTAAGCCC